ACATGCCTTGCCTGCCCCTCTTTTTTTTTTTTTTTTTTTTTTTTTTAAGGTTTTTGCTATAGGGCACATGTGCTTATCAGAGACAGAAAGCAAGAAATCACCCCCCAGGGAGGATGGCCATGCTGCAGTTCCTTCTCTCCCAATCTCCTCTCTGGAGTTTTGGGCATGCACGCACACATGCCTAACATGAGGTTCAAGCCACCGGGGTCTTGAATGGTTAACTATGTGTGAGTCTAGCGGCATAACCATTATGCCATCTCAGAAAGATGGTCCGTTTACCCCTGTTAAGTCACCTATTCATTCCCAATAACGATGTTAACACTGTTTTGTGTATCCTCCCTAAGGAATTTATGTGCATATAAGCAAATCATATATGTGTACTTACTCTTCCCTTCTGTACGTACACTGCCGTTGTCTTTTCCCACTTAATAGTAATGTGTGGGAAGTGCTTTATAAATTCTAAGATAGTTAAAGTACTATTACATAAGTAAAACAGGGGGTTAGGAGTTAGGGAAGGTTTTAGTGCCTTTTGCATCCTGATATCAAAGGACTGGGGCTGGGTGAGATGGTCGGAAGAGATTGGGATAAGTTATGTGGTTAGCCTGAATTTCTGAACTCACCCCTTTTTTTTTTTGAAGAAATTTTTGCTGTAGGGTGTGTATTTTCACTGGAGAGACAGAGACAGAAATAGAAATCATCCCCCCCACCCCCCGGGGATGGTCATGTTGCAATCTGTTCTCTATTTTCCTCTCAGGATTTTGGGCTAACATGAGGGGTTTTTTCCCCCAAGTTCTTTTATACATTCAATCACTTTACTTAGCTTGCAAACTGAATATTGTAACACATGTATATTGATCCCCAGTCCAGTTGATAATAGTATAAAGTTATCTTAAACAGATAATATCCCATTTCTTTGTCCCATTAATGCTAAGCTTCTTCATTTTCCTACCTAATGTCCCTTCTCAGACTATTTAATTTTATTTACTTATTTTAATTTGACCAGAGAGGGGCAGAGTGAGAGAGAGAAGGAAAATGAGAAAGCAAGCCAAGTCCAGGACTCGAACTGCAATTGACCAAGAAAGCAAGTCACCAAGTCCGGGACTCGAACTGCAATTGACCAAATGAGAGTCCAGCGACCCTAACCACCACGCCATCTGCCAGCCCCTAGCATGAGTTTTAAGCAGCTGAGTCTCCAACTGTGGTCTACTAGTGGAAATCCAGTGACATAACCATTGCGCCATCTGCTGGTCCCCCAAGCTCACTAACGTTTATTTTCATTGTCAGAAGGCACATGTGCTTGCTTACCTGAGAGTCAGAGAGAAAGGATTCCTAACTGGGGCATGGTGGTGTCACAATCCTTTCTCCATTTCTCTATCTTGTTGGGATTTGATGCACACATGCACTTGTGACCTAGCATATTTTTTGAAGTCTCCAGGTCCGGGACTCCAACTGCGCAGTCAGCCACGTGGCATCTGGCTACTTTAACCACTATACCACTGACTGGCCCTTTACTTTTCTATATACAAAGTTTTGTATCGTTTTTGTTTCAGGTTGAATGTGAAATCCACTATCGAGGGAATTCTAGCTCTTCAGCCCCATGTGTGCCACCTAGACCTGGCTCTGCAAGAACCTCCCTAACATCTGCAGACTGAATCCAGTGGACTGGAATTTGGACATTCTTGCTAGGAAGGTTAAGAGACTGATGGGACCAGAAAGGTAGGTACTTACCCATAGAATGCTGCCTTAAGTTTTCTGCATTATACATACATGTATGTGTGTCTTTTCTATCTAAAAAGATTAGAGGTTCTTTGAGTTACGCTTGTATATCATAATGCAAGGCACACAGTAGGCACTGAATAAATTGTAATGAATGCAAGTAGAATTGAATGACAATATATTAAAATGGAAGTATCTGCAGTTTTAGTATTATTGATTTATAGCTTATATCAGTCCTTCATGAAACATCTGCTCACATACAGAAAATATACCTTTTGGCCATAAACACCAGTACTTTGAAGCACTGCCCACAGTCAACAAATGAGTGGGTCATTGTTTAAGGAGTATTTATAAAATACGTAGTAAAGTGCGTGGTTGGCACGCGCCTTTAGTCCCTCCTACTCGGGAGGCTGAGGCACTGAATTTGAGGCCACTCTGAGCAACTTAATGAGACCTTGTCTCTTTAAAAAAAATAGTAATTATGAAATGACCTTTGTGGTACAATGACACTTGTCCAAGTATGATTGGAAATCTGAAGGGAGCAACGTTTTGGAAAAGGCACCAGGATATATATTGTAGGGTTTTTGCTCTGTGTCAGGGACACAAAAATCAGACCCCTGTAGTCTGGGTTTTGTCTGTGAGATGAGATAGAGAAGTTGTCCTTTTCAGCATATAATTATTCTGTAGTAAGTAGCGCTTGGATCAGGGTGGCAGATAATGTGTTGGTTAAGGGCACTGGACTCCCGCATGGCCGACCATGGTTCAATCCTGGACCTGATGGCTTGCTTTCTCTCTTTCTCACTCTCCGGTCAAATTTAAATAAAGTTAAATAAAGTAATTCTTTAAAAAGAAAAGTACTTGGGTCAAGATATTATTAGAACTGTAGAAACCTCTTATCATATCTTCCATCTACATTCCCTTGTTAATCTCTTTGAAATTATTGTCATTTTAAAAATTTGCCATAGGGTTCATGTGCTTGTCAGAGATAGAGAATACACCTCTCAGGAGGGATGCCATGCCACATCCCTTTCTCTATTCTCTCAGGATTTTGAGCATAGATGTACATGTACCTGGCATGTTTCTGAAGCTTCTGGATCCAAGACTTGATTGAACCATGCAGTTGGCTGTGTGGGATACAGCTGCCTTAACCATCACACCACTGGCTGGTCACTCCCTTGTTAATCTTGCATGCTGCTGATCTGAGAACATTTCACATAGTTAAAGCATTATTTAAATGTAGGAATAGGGAAGGAGTAAAAAAGCACTTTGATTATATTTCTCTGAGGTACTTAAAAACCTCAGTTTCTCTTTGACCTATAAGACAGTATGTCATTCTCATTACGTTCTAAAGCTAAAACCATCTTCTATAGTTCTTCCTCTTATTTCGTGTAGGAAGAACCATTTAGTGAAGTGGAAACAGTGTGTAGTTTCGAAAGAACTGGATTTCAGTCCTGGCTCTTACTAGTTAGGTGACCTTGGAAAAGTTATGTAATTTCTAGGGCTTTCATTTTTCATACAAATGTCAGGTTATAACGTTTGAATAAACCGATTTCTGTAGTGCTTGACAAGTAGTAGGTTTTTTTTTTTTAAAGAATTGTTTTATTCAACTTTATTTTTAATTGGATCACAGAGGGACACAGATTGAGAGATGAGAAAGCAAGAAAGCAAACCACCAGGTCTAAGACTCGAACCACAGTTGGCCAGGTGGCAGTCCAGTGCCCTTAACCACCATGCCACCTGGCAGCCCCAGACAAGTAGTAGTAGGAATTTTAAAGAATGACGGCTACCTCTTCCTTGCTGTCAACTTAGTCATTCCCATTTCTCTGATGATGGAAATGTGCTACATTTGTGCTGTTTAACATGACAGCCCCTAGCCACATATGGATACTGAGCAACTGAAATGTGACTAGTGTGACTGAGAATTTTAATGTTCAATTTTAATTTTAATTAACTGGCCATACGTGGCAAATAGTTACTTAATTGGCCAAGTAGCTTTAAGGTCCACTCGAGCTCCTTTTATTTTGTAGTACATTTTTTTTTTTTTTTTTTTGCTGGGGGAGCAGGTAGTTTTTATTGTTTCTAGGTTTTTTTTTTTTTTTTTTTTTTGTTTTTCAAACACTGGACAATCATGTGATACACTAGATGCACTCCTAGGCCCCAGGTCTGTGCACACCTTTGCAACTGGTCCTGTGATGGCAGAACCTTTCATTTCATCTTTGTTTACTGTGACCCCTGCATTATCTTTAACATAAAGAACACACCATCTTCTCTCTGGTATGACTTATATCAAATTACCACTGCTGGGTTTACCTTCTTCCTGAGTTTCGGTTTGCCTTTCTTGCCTGGCCTTACCATGCCACCCATACTAGTAGCAGGAAGCCTATTCAGTCGTCCCTTGATCCCCTTCACAGAGATGGTATTTTATTTATTTATTTGTCTATTAATTTAAATTTGTCCAGAGAGGAACAGAGAGAAAGTGAGAAAGCAAGCCGCCAGGTCTGGGACTCCGAACCATGGTCAGCCATATGAGAGTCCAGAGCCCTTAACTACCTCATCATCTACTGGTCCGGATGACATATTCTTTTTTTTTTTTTTTTAAAGAATATTTTAATTTTGTTTACTCATTCATTTATTTTAATTTGACTAGAGAGAGAGAGAAAGCAAGCCACCAGGGCTGGGACAAACGGAGTGATTGGCCGTGTGGGAGTCCAGCACCCCAACCACCACACCACCTGCTGGCCCCCCCGGGAAAGGACTATTAAA